TATTTGTTCAGAAAAGAGGCAACTGTTTAAAAATAGATATAAAATGGAATGATGCTTTTTGGTGGATATGCTTTTTTTGCTCTGTGTGCATTGTTACCGATGGTGAGACATTTACCTGTATTTAAATATGAATGTGGGTTGGGTGTAACCCGCTTAAAACATATTTCGGCTATACACCAATGGGGTGGAAAATACAAAGGTACACGTGTACTCTAATATTTTGTTGATACACACCAAAGAAGACAATCCAGGCAAATCTGGGATTCAACGATCAGCGGATCCTGGAGCGTCTAAGGGCAAAGACCCTGCACAACGAACTGCGGCGCTTCAGATATCAGGGCCTAACGTAATTCTTCTGTGGAAAGGCTCCTACCCAGGAGATTCTTGTAACAAATATTCTAATATTTTTTGTACGATTCTGGCTAACAAATAATGATTTTGTCAAGGTCTAAGGCTTAGTTCCGTGTAATCAAACACAATGTCTGTGAACCATGGAGATACCTTCCTTGCACTGACTGATCTACCAGAGCTTAATGAGTAGGATGATCTGTAGAGTCCTGACGGTGCCTGTTTATCGCCCAACTGGTCGCGGTTCGTGGGCACATGCATCAGTTAAATATGCTTGACAAACACGCGTGAAATCTATATACATCAGCCTAGTCCAAGTTCACACGCTTCATGAGTGAGTGGGTTTAGTTTTACACCGCACTCAACAATATTCCAGCTATATGGCGACACGCTTCATGAAGGGCACAGCAGATAGTACGGAACATCCTCTGTACGTCAAACAGAAATACATACAAAAACATGTGTAGAGATTCAGTCAGGTTTGACATTGCACGTACATATTTAATAATGTGTAATGAAGACATCAGCGGCTATAATGGATTATGCATTGACTTAACTATATTTCTGTCACACAGATGCTTATTGAATGGATTGTGATACCTGGTGTGACTGTTCCTGTTCCGTGCATTGCTGCATCTGTATACAAGGTGTCACAATATAACAGAAAATGAAAGCGGGACAGAAATTGATTCCAGAATTTTAAAACATTTTCACTGATAATAATTTAACACAGCCTGTCTGTCATGTTAGGATGCGTCCTCCAAACCTCAAAGGGCAACTATCCTTCGCATTGCTTTTTCAGTCGTTTACGAGAATTAGATCAGAATTTGTGGAGTGAGTGAGTGAGGTTAGTTTTACACCGCACTCAGCAATATTCCAACTATATGGCGGCGGTCTGTAAATAATCGAATCTGGACCAGACAATCCATTGATCAACTGCATAAGCATCGATCTTCGCAATTGGGAACCGATGACATTTGTCAACCAAGTCAGCGAACCTGACCACCCGATCCCGTTAGTCGCATTTTACAACAAAGCATGGGTTACTGAAGATCAGTTCTATCCAGGATCTCCACGGGTCTCATATTAGGATAAGTCCTCAAAACATCATATGACTACCATCACTCGAATTGATTTTCAGTCGTTTATGAGAATTACATCAGAATTTGTGGACGCAAACGTTTTGCAATTTAAAGAATACCGTGTCGATGTATGCATGTTGGCTAATCCCGTTGGGAATGTTCAAGTGTGTGGCTACAGCAATAATATGTACATGAAGCAGTGCGCAATTTCGTTTCATGACTGGTTTGCATTATCAAGTTTTTAAACACACCCGCCAATGTACGTTCCGAAACTATTTCCCTATCAACAGAACAGCATGCATTCGAAAAGAATTCTTGAAACGAAAAAGCAAAAAATATCTAATCACCTTGTTGTCTATACCATCCCCAGATATCCATGTTTATTAGGTAGTTTCTCATAACACACTATGTATCAATCCAAAACACGCAGAACGTACATAAACCAGGTCCCACAAAGCAACACGTACCCCATGCGAGGGTACAAAAAGCCACGTTGTAACGCATTTCATTGGTCGAGAAAGAGTTAAATATTTACTCATCTCATCCGTGTTATTACATAACCTAGGCCTCCGCGGATTGTGCTCTTGGCTGCATGGATCATTAACATGAGTCACTCGCACACTTGTGAAGTGAGACGGTAGTAAACATTATGTTTTCAACCTTCAAGTGGAGCGAACATCCGGCTCATGTAAATCATGTCATCTTTGGAATATTTATTGTAACAGACCCGTTAGTACATCTTCCAACGCAAGCAGGCGGACCTTGAAACTGCAACGTAAATATGGATTCTAAAAAACCAAACGATAAAAAGGCATATTTGTAGTGGAGAGCTTTTTGGAAGCGAGGTAAACAGTTTAAAGAATCTTTCCTGAAACTAAATATACTCATGCCAATAATGGTTGTCACCCCTTCAATTTTTTAATTGGAGAGGTGTGTGTTGTGTGTGTGTGTGGGGTGGGTGGTGGTGGGTGGGGTGGGGAGAGGGGTGACAACCATTATTGGCATGAGTATATATGCATTTGTACGTTTTAGAATAGAACTTTACTCCTTTTCAGTATTGTCACACGTCTATCAGGAAGAGGAACGCCAATGACAAATTTGAAAATTCGACCTCGAACATAGGTTACTGACACGCCTAAGGGAGGTAATTCTGCACATCGCATTGCGGGACTTTGAGCAATAGCAATGGGCTTTGTAAATTGTATCTGCATGTGGTGAATTCAAATGTTTTCGAATGAACATTTAAATATTAAACGTCAACAACACCAGAGAATGCCCAGCCTCGATTGTCTGCCGAAAAAGATTCCATTTAGTGTAAAGGTAAAATGTAGAAAAATATAGGAATGGATCACTAGAACATGAAAAGACACCCGATGTTCGCGAAACAAAGACACCTGCTGCCATGCTTACCACCGCAGCTTTTATATGTGTCTGGTTTGGCGTGGTTCGAATATCGTATAGATCCGTATAGATCCGAATGTAGGGTCTAGTTCTTTATTTGTCCGTCCCGATCATACTGATGCGTATCAGCGAAATAGATAATGTCTATAAAGTGAATTTATTTGCAGTTTCCTGTCGTATTAACCGACAGAGAGTGATAATATAAGTAAATGACTTTGGTGTTTCAACACATGTTTTATTATTCCAGATATATGCCCGTTCGATATGGGCTTCAACACGGTCGGATCGAAACACGGTCATTGTCGTGACGAGCGAACCCTTTAACCACTGGGCTACCCCACACCCATGCTATCAACATGAAACACTGTTCAAAGTAGTTAAAGCATGATTGATCAAAGTAGATAAACCATAATAAATTCATAAATAAACTTGTAGAATATGTAAGGTTGTTGCGAACATTTGTTCTTCAAATCAATTATGGTTGTTATTAATGTTTTAAAATCCAGTTCAGTGTAACAAACCCCCGTTGATCTAGTACTTCTCAAGAGTGAAACTTCGACCATCAAATCGAAAAGAGGGACCCCAACCAAATTAAAAAGTGATTCAGTCCCCATCACAGCAGTGCTTAGTCTGCTCCACTTGTGTCGGAGATTCAATAATGAATGACAGGGGCTCCTTGAAGAATAGTCATTTCTCTGCCAGTTGTGACGGTCAGTTTAATATCGTCGTCATCATGACTCCTTGTCCTGTCAAACCCACGTGTTACTTGTAGTTAGTGTCTCACTCGGCCACCAGGGGGAGTGCAGGAACCACGGCCTCGCTGTGGTGCTGACAAGCCAGGGTAAGACGCTTACACCTTGTTTGTTAAAAGGTCAGATATCCGATTCTCATTTATTGTTTTCTAGACGTAGTTAGATACAATTTGGTGTCAGCTAATGACCATTACACCTTTTAGAGACTGTAGTGTATTGTATTACGAGTAGCATTAACCTTTACCGTTTCTTTAAAGAGTATACTGATTGGTTATTTGACTCCGTGCAATTCACAGATGACTGCTCGGTATTCATTAGTGCAAACGTTGTGAGGTCAAATTCATTGTAGGTATTCTTCTTATAGCAGCTGAAAAATGTAACTCTTCATAAATTGTACTTACATGTTTATTAGTTAACGTATTTTGAACTTGCGTTTTAATTAGTTTCATAACAAATATAACCAGCAACAAGCATTAAAATCCTGAAGAATGAGGACTATTTTTATGGATATACAACTTCTTTATTCTGTCTTTCGACATAGATTCTAATGTCGTTGTCAAACTTGCTTGGCAACGACATTAGAATCTATGTCGAAACGTCGCCTATTCAGAATAAAGAAGTTGTATATCCATAAAAATAGTCCTCATTCTTTCATCTACCCAACTTCTAGAATGCCAATCAAAGAAGACATTAAAATCCTCTTTAGAAACCTCAACTAAAAGGAAGATTCCATTGTTGAATCCATTGTGTTTGGATCACTATCGAATAGCGATGATAGGTTTGCAAAGAGTCGAGAGTTATCTGTTCCACTGTAGCACCCGACAGAAATACAGCGTTAACCGTAAAAAGTGTGCTACATGTGTACGACCTGCAGGTGTGAACAAATAAGTTAAAATAGTTTTGCATACCTTCTTTAGAACCAAACTGAATTTAGCCCTGTACCAGATGACGGTTTATCTGATGAACAAGGGATATTCTCATTTGTTAAAAACAAATTCGATTTATCATCAGGTGTATGTGAGTACGACCACTACAAGTTACTTTCGGTAGCAGTTAGTATCGACAAGCGATTGTGATATTCCAGTGTGGAGAAGAGAATATGCTGGGAGAGGAGCCAATACGCTGTTGGGATTGTACGTGGCCTTGGTAGCGTGTATAACACATGCGTTCGTAATAACCAGTTTACACTGATAACGCACTGTATGTCTAGTGAGGTGTTGTACAGGTATGATGTTTGGAATTGACAGGTTACACTGTAAACACAGTACAGTGAGATCTGGTTTCGTTTATTTCAGGTCGGATGTTTGGAATTGACAGGTTACACTCTAAACACGCAATGCAGTGAGATCTGGGTTGTTTGTTACAGGTCGAATATACAAACTGTAGCGTGTATTACACGTGTGTTTGTTGTTGACAGGTTTGGCTGTATGCAGGGGCGCCACGAACGAGGATATTAAGGTCAGTCTTTACTTTATTGTGACTGCTGATCTTAACATTGTTACGACAAATTAACCTCTCATCCCCTTTGCTTCTAGTGCATGGATTGACATACTGCCTCCGCTCTCAGTTATACATTCTGCTTTCTCTCTGACAAAAACAATGATGGCTTCTGTCGGATGTTGATACGAATTTCCTGTTCCAAGAACGATGGTTGCTTGTGGAGAAATATATATTAGGATTTACGCATTTATGCGTCATAGAAACAAAAGCGGTTTGTGGATAATACATACGCTTCAATGCCAATGGCAGTTTGTGGAGAAATATATACCTTAGTATTGAAGCATATTCCGTTACAAGAACAACGTTTGTGGAGAAATATATACTTTAGTGTTGAAGCATATGCCGTTACAAGAACAAGGTTTGTTGAGAAATATATACTTTAGTATTGAAGCATATGCCGTTACAAGAACAAGGTTTGTGGAGAAATATATACTTTAGTATTGAAGCATATGCCGTTACAAGAACAAGGTTTGTGGAGAAATATATACTTTAGTATTGAAGCATATGCCGTTACAAGAACAAGGTTTGTGGAGAAATATATACTTTAGTGTTGAAGCATATGCCGTTACAAGAACAAGGTTTGTGGAGAAATATATACTTTAGTGTTGAAGCATATGCCGTTACAAGAACAAGGTTTGTGGAGAAATATATACTTTAGTGTTGAAGCATATGCCGTTACGAGAACAAGGTTTGTGGAGAAATATATACTTTAGTATTGAAGCATATGCCGTTACAAGAACAATAGCGGTTTGTGGAGAAATACAGAGTATTTACGCATATGCCGTTACATGAACAAAAGAGGTTTCAAGAGAAATATATACTTTAGTATTTACGCATATACGCTTACATTAACAAAAGTGGTTTGTAGAGAAATATATACTTTAGTATTTACGCATATACGCTTACATTAATAAACGTGGCTTGTTGAGACATATATCGTGTTTACGCATATGCCGTTACAAGAACAATGGTAGTTTGTTGAGAAATATATACTTTAGTATTCACGTATATGCCGTTACAAGAACATTGGTGGTTTGTGGAGAAATAGAAAGTATTTACACATATGCCTTTGCATTAAAAAAGTGGTTTGTGGAGAAATATATGCTTTACTATTTACGCATATGCCGTTACATGAACAAGAGTGGTTTGTGGAGAAACATATACTTTAGTATTCACGTTTATGCCGTTACAAGAACATTGGTGGTTTGTGGAGAAATAGAAAGTATTTACACATATGCCTTTGCATTAAAAAAGTGGTTTGTGGAGAAATATATGCTTTACTATTTACGCATATGCTGTTACATGAACAAAAGTGGTTTGAAGAGATATAGAGAATATGCCGTTACGTTAGGAAAAGTGACTTGTGGAGAAATATATACTTAGTATTTACGCTTAGGCCGTTACAAGAACCATGAGGCTTGTAGAGAAATATCCCTCTCAAGTACAGTGCATATGCCTTTACAAACACAAGGAACACATGTTTTTAAAACACATATCGGTAACAGGATGACACAGCTTATCACAAAGAACCACGCCTCTATATGATAAATCGAACAGTTGTCGCAGTAGGGAGTATTCTTAAAATATACAAGAACATATTTCATTTCTGGGAGCGTTCTTCTATTTGAGTTGGATTTGTAATTGGAAAACAAATATTGTAATATACATATTAATATCCAAACATTAATGAACATAATATCAAATTTGATGAAAATACATTTATGAAAATAGATCACTGTACAAAATTAACTCATCTACATTTACAGTAAGATCTTCATTAAGACGCTTGACAGATTCGAGACGCAGTCCGAAGAAACAATATTACTGAACTTGTGACGTAAAAAGGGTGACGTCACAATTGGTGACACGCGACCAGGACTGCAGAATGAAATGGAAATCCAGTCACTCATACAAATCCGTTTAAAGTAGGTTGTACATGTAGGATATGTGACTGTTGTCGCTCTGGCGTTAATTGGCGACAATCCCATGTCAATTATCTTCAGGATGCTGAACACTTAGCATTGGGAATTGACCAGCTTCGGTGAAAGAGACAAATATCTCTCCGTTAACTATCCACAACCATCAGTCCATATACCTGATTAACTCTAAGTGCTTGGAAGTTGTCTTGCAAGAGGCGAGCATGTTTCACTGATGAAGCCACCAGCCATTGACCGGCATACAATTTATTTCTGTGCAGGAGAATTTCGGGCCCTCCTTTTTGCGCTTAATTTGATGGAGGGGGAAAAAACGGTTATTGGTCTTCCAGGAAGCCTCAGAGCATGAGGACCTGTTTTTTTTCAAACAGTAGAACCTCTATGATTCTGATTTCCATCGAATTTGTCCAAATAGTTATTTTCAGAAACAAGGATTAATAAATACCATATAGGTATACAGATGTTTAAAATGGAATCGTCCGGTATGCAGGGTGTTCGGGCTAATGAAGTCTAGACTAGGAAAGTTACACTGTGTTATGAATAGTAGTGAGTGAGTGAGTTTAGTTTTACGCCGCACTCGTCAATAGTCCAGCTATATGGCGGCGGTCTGTAAATAATCGAGCCTGGACCAGACAATTCAGTGATCAACAGCATGGGCATCGATCTGCGCAAGTGGGAACCGATGACATGTGTCAACCAAGTCAGCTAGCCTGACCACCCGATCCCGTTAGTCGCCTCTTATGACAAACATAGTCGTTATGAATGGTCATACATGACAATGTTTACATAATGCGTCATCACGCAAACACGAATTTACCCGATTAATCGACGAATCAGATTTTAATGGGTGTTAAAGGCTGAATGGTACTGAAATGTGTATTGAATGGCTAACTGAAAATAGAGGATGAAATCAGGTGTTCTCGTGAAGGGTGTTCGTATTTTGCCCTTACTGGTAGCATGAATTTCTACATACATTTAAATAACGCTGAAAATACTGATGATAATTGGTATTGATTACTCATGAATAATTGCTGAAGCAAATCTATAATCATGATAATCCTATAACCATTTAAATAAATAATTAATTCATAATAGCTGATGTTACGAGAATGCAATTAGGAATGTGCATCACTACTACTACTAGGGAGAACGTGGGGGTAGCCTAGTGGTTAAAGCGTTCTCTCGTCACGCCGAGGACCCGGGTTGATTCCACACATGGCTACAATGTGTGATGCCCTGGTCCAGTCTCCCCCTCCGTGATGGTGATGGAATATTGCTAAAACCATACACATTCACTACTACTACTACTACTACTACTACTACTACTACTACTACTACTTTCTTGTTTAACGCCGTACAGCAAAATATTCAATATTCCAACCGTACGACGGCAGTCTGTCAAAATCAAATCTGGACCAGGCAATCACATGATAGATAACTATGTATCTACTACTACTACTACCACTATTACTACTACTACTACTACTACTACTACTACTACTACTACTACTACTACTACTACTACTACTACTACTACTACTACCACTACTACTACTACTACTACTGTTATAATTGATCTTAAGTAACCTAGTTGCGTAGATAGATGCTCATGCTGTTAATCACTGGATTGTCTGGTCCAGACTTGATTATTTACAGACCGCCGCCATATAACTGGGATGTTGCTGAGTGCGGTGTTAAACAACCAACCGCATTGGAACATATTGCCGAAAGTTGCGAAAAAGTCGACTGGAGAGATTAACGAGCCACCATATTGCTGAAATACTGCTAAGAGCGGCGTAAAACTCACTCACTCACTCACTACTGCTACTTCTACTCTGTAGTTTCAAGGGTTTAAGTGAATCTGAGTTTGACGGCGTTTGCAGTTCACAAAAACGTTCGTGGAAACTTTGTCAATTATTCTACCCTCCACCCTTACGGCCTGCTTGATTATACATCATAAAGATATCAGAAGCACAACACGGATATAACAAAATCCAGTGTCCTAAAGATTCCATAGTCCACAACCATGTCCATCTTTAACCATTCCTACCTATTCCATGAAGTTAGAAATGATTATACGTCAAAAGACTCAAGGTTCAGAACAGCATTAGTTTAAAATCTTTTAATAAAACTACTTTTAAAAGTTCAATTTAGACCAAATTAACAGATGATAAGATTCAGGGCATTGAAGAACGAATCTCTGTCAGTAAACCACCTGACCTATTGCTCAAGTGCTTCCCGTAATCAACCTGGTCAAAAAAACCGTGGAAGACATTACGAAGTAATGTCACTCATTCTGCTGATAATAGATTGTCTGTAAGAAATAATTGTACTTTAAGGGTTACATTTCGTGAAAAGTGTCGGATCAATATCGCGTAATAGCTGAGGATGCTAATCAATAGTGTTTTAGGTAAGCCGGGCAAAACTATACTCATAAACCAAACCAATTACAAGCATGTCCGATTCCAAATGATTTGCTTTGGGAATTTGTCGATTTTATCCCGAGTCTTGGAATGATTCCTGGTTTATCGGACATCTAGTGTGTCTTGTCCTCTGTCATCCTTATCGAGGCTTGTCAAACGAAGCGTTAACGGAACTCTCTCACTAAATTGGCGCCTTCAAGAACTCTATGGAATCCATGTCTGCGAACCACTGGTTCTGTGTGCGATCATAGCTTTGCTCATTAAGTATACATGCTTCGACAAGACAGGTAATCTCGCGGGTTGTCAGTTTTAGTAGATAGGGTGAAAATTATTAGACCTTTTTTCAGTTTATTTTTAAACGCCTTGTGGTGATCAAATACAGAAGGGCTATGTCTTTGGCTTTTTTGTCATAAATTTGATCGGTTGTAATATGTAGATAATTATAACGTGATGTGTCTGACAGTTAGTACGTCATTAGCGTCTTGTCTCCTACAATCAGATGTCTCATTATCATGATTATGAATAGAATTTATGATAACCCTAACATTTTGGATATTGGTCAAAGTTGGTATTGGGTTTGGGTTAATTTTCGAAAACGAAA